GGACTCGGATTTTTAATGTGGCTCAAAGCGGGTCAGCTAATCTGGAGCCAAATTATGTTGCTTGATTAACATTTAGAATAACTATTATAAATATAATCTAAGCCTCTGAAACATTTTTCATAATATATTCCCTTACTAAGAACCAAAAGTGATTTTTTTAAAACTATTTTATTTTAGCATATGGGCACATTTAGTGTGTGTATGTGTGGGATTCAAGCCTTTACTCTCTATATGTGTATTTTTTTTTAAATCTTTTCTTACTTTATTGAAGTTTTAAATTACACATTTGTTTATTTATTTTGTGTGAATGTGTTTGTATGCATGTGGGCATGTGTGCATCACGGTGCACGTGTGGAGGTCAGGGGAAACCCTGTGGGAGTTCATACTCCCATCTTGTGGGTTCTGGGCGTTGAGGTCAGGTGGTCATGCTCGGCAGAGGGCACCTTTAGCCACTGGGCCACCTCTCTGGCCCTGCTTTATTTTTAACCAGCATGCAAAGTAGGAGGTTTGCTCTGGCATGTTCGAGAGTGCCAGGTTTGCGTGTTCCTTCCCCTCCCAACTTGTCATGTCACATGTATGCTATCATTTTTCCATCCCTTCCCCAAAGCCTCTAGCCCCCTCTTATGGACCCCTTTCCAGTTTCCTGGCTTCTACACACTTTCTCCCGCATACATACACATAAGCAAACATTAATCTCTAGGATCTGCCCAGGAGCATGCTGTGTTTGGCTTTCTGAGCCTGGTCTTCCTCACTTGATGTAACAGTTAACAGTTCCATCCATTTTTGCTGCAAATTTGATTTTTCTTTACAGGTGAGCCAAGTTCTATTGTGTATATATGCCATATTTTAATTATCAGTCTTCTGGTTGACGTCTAGGATGATTTAATCTCCTTGATAGTGTGAATAAGGCAGCAGTAAACGCAGATGTGCAGAATTGTGGTGTATCTGGGTCATAGGGTAATCTGTGTGGAGCATTTTGAGAAGACTGCACAGTGGTTTCCACAGAGGCTGTACTGGTTCATAGCCTCATCAGCAATGACTGAAGGCCCTTCTCTCCCCACGTTGTCACCAGCATTTGTTTTTATCAATGATAGCTATACTGATGACTTTTTGAATTAAATTTTCAATTTTCAGTATTTACTTATTCATGGGGGTGGCCAGTTGTGCATATTTGTGCCTGACCGTGCCATGGCCATGGGGCATGCCTGTAGAGGTCAGAGGTCAGTTCTCACCTTCCACTGTGGAACCTGGGACTTGAACGTAGGCTTTGCAGTTTGAGCAGGTGAGCACCTTCACCCACTGAGCCACCCTACCTCCAAGTCCTTGCCATTTATTTACATTGCTTCTTTTTAGAGCTGTCTGTTTAGATCATTGGCCCATTTATTGACCGGCAGTTTTGATGTTTGGTGTTTGATTTTTGTAGTTCTTTATGTAGTTAGCTATTAACACCCACCTCCCGCCCCCCGGAGTATATAGAGCTGACAAATTTTTTTCCATTCTGCTGTCTGCTCCCTCTCTTCCTCTGCTGTACATATGCCTTTTAGTTTATGTAGTACTGTTTGTCCAAAATGGATCTGTTACTTCTCTTGCAAGAGTTCAAGCAGAGAGGATGTTGGAGTAGGAGATGTTTCTGGTTTCTGTGACCAAGACCCTGACATAAAGCCATTTAGGAGGCCCTACTCTGGCTGGCAGTTTGAGAGATAGAGTCCATGGACTATGGGTTAGGTGCAGGGTGAGTATGGCAGAGTTCGTGGGGCAGGAATATGTGGCTGAACCTCCCCTCCTGTGGGCTGGCCAGGACGCAGGAAGCAGGGGACGCTGGTGACTCGTTGGCTTCCTCCTTTTCTCTTTTTATTCAGTCTGGAACTCAGTCCGTGGTACTGCTCACATCTAGGGCTTGTCTTCTCTTATAAACCGATCCTCTTTGTGGTCTCTCTCACAGCTTGCTTCACTAATGTCACAAATGTTTCATAGTTCAATCAAGTTGACCGTCAAAATTTGCCATTATTGCATTGACTCGGGTGATCTAGAACCTTCTATCCTTAGGAAAAACTCGTCTATTTGAGTTTCTGTCTATGCCCCTAAGTTTATTTGATTATGTGTAGTGAGTATGAGTAACTATTGGTCTGGTCTGTTGGGGCTCTATCCAAAATAACAGCCTTTCTAATTTTTCTTAATATAATAATTTTAATGTATTCATTGAGAACTCATTTTGAGCATACCCATCCCCGACTCCACTCTTCAATTCCGCCCCCAGATATTTTCAACATGTCCCCCTCCCAACTTCATCTCCTCCTCTTTTATAAATAACCCACTGAGCCCAATTAGTGCTGCTTCCACACAGGTAAGTGTGGGGCATCCACTGTACCCAGACCCCCAAAGAAAATTGACTCTTCCTCCCAGCAGCTATAACTACCACTCACTCCTCAGCTAGCCCTGGGGCCTTGTGTACTCTTCCCTAATCCATGCTAGAATTTTGACCAGTATGATTTTGTATAGGTCCTATGAAGGTAACCATAACTACAGTGAGTTCATGAGTACAATGGCCATGGCTTGTCCAGAAGACAGCATTTCATAGCTCCCCTCACCCCCCGTCTTACATTCTTTCCATCCCTTCTTTTGAAATGTACCTTGATCCTTGGAGGAAAAGGTTGGTGGTAATTTGGTTCAAAATCACCACAATAGGCTGGTATGTTTGAATACTTGGTCCCCAGTTGGTGGAACTGTTTGGGAAGGATTAGGAGGTGTGGCCTTATTGGATGAGGTGTGACCTTGGGGCTGGCTTCAAGGTTGCAAAAGCCCACTCTATTCCCAGGGTCTCTCACTCTCTGCCTCATGCTTATGGATCAAGATGTAAGACCTCAGCTACTGCTCCAGCACCATGCCTGCCTACCTGCTTGCTGCCATGCTCCCCACCATGATGGTCATGGAATCTAAACTCTGGAACCATTAGCCTTGTCCCTGGTGTCTTATACAGCAATAAAGACCAAGGCAGAGTTTGATGTAAATGTCCTATTTAGGACAGAGCACTCCCTAGTCACTTGTTCTCAGCATTTTAGCCGGTTGGAAGTCGCAGCATGAACTCCTGCCATTTGCCAATAGAGGCTTCGGTGACCAAAGTTGAGCATAGCACAAATCTAAGTATGTATGGCTTCTTCAGCCATGAGAAGGTTTTGGACCAGGTTTTCAGTACCAGGCAGGCATTTGCTCCTGTGGAGCAGGCCTCAGAGCCCAGTCAGAAAGTGCCTGGTTACCTTCATAATTGTCACGCCACTGTTGTACCAGCGGGCATTTTTTACCTGGTAAGCTGATACTGTAGCATGTTTGTGGCCTCTTAAGAAATAGGGTCTTACCACCTGTTTAGAGTAGGTTTCCAAGGGCAATGGCAGTAGTGTTGTTTTGGAGGCCTTGTAGCAGGAATCTTAAAAGTTCTTATTAATAAAATCAAACCTGAGGCCAGTTATTGGGGTGAACACTGGAAGGTCAGAGAGACAGAACAAGCCACACCTGGCCAACTTCTCAGCTGATCTTGTTTCCCCAGACTGGAAGCCTCTGTGTCCTCATATCCGAATGGCTCTCAGCTGAACTGTGCTGCTCAAAACCTAAAAGCTTAACCAGCCAAATGCTTCTAGTTTCTGGTCCTCATGCCTTATATACCTTTCTGCTTTCTGCCATCACTCCCTGGGATTAAAGGCTCACTTTCTGGGTTTAAAGGCGTGAGTCACCATGCTTGGCTGTATGCTTGAACAGATGGATTTCTGCCTCTGGAATGCTAGGATTAAAGGCGTGTGCTACCACTGCCTATCCTAAGTACCTAGTGGCTTTTCTGTTCTCTGACCCCCGATAAGTTTATTAGGGTACACAATATTTTGGGGAACACAATACCACCACAAGGCCTCGAGCCTCCCATAATTTTTGCCAAATATCTAGATATGTTCAGGCTGTGGTCCGTGAGCTACAGTTGCCACAAAAATAACTATGAGTATGGCCTAACACAGAACTGAAAATTTATTTAAAACTTTATGAGACATTTTTGTGTGACTTGTTTATTTTCAATTTGATTGCACAGTTCTTGAATGTGAACTTCATTGATTACATTATACTACAATATCAAAAGATTGAAATATCCCCGCATTCGAAAGCAATCTTGGCTGCCCGTGTCCCAGTCATTAGTAGTATAGGGAAAGGCTGCTGAAAGATGTGTTCCCTGAGTTTGGGGTGTTCTGTCCTGACCCCTGCAAAGCCTGGGACTTTCCCATCTTCCCATTTCTCTCTGCCAGCTGGTATACCAATGAGGCTGCATAGTCAGTGTCAGGCCATGTCATGACCAGGTCTGTACAGCCTGGTGTCCTGTTTCTAGAAACTCAGCTGGTCTCTGCCCTGTGTGGTTAGTAACCCTCAGCTTTCAAGCAGAGGCTGGAACAGAGTGCTTACGAGGTATTTATGGATCAGCGAGCCAGTCAGAGAGCATGACCACCCCGTGTAGTGCGACTGGAGACACCACCCACTCAGAGCATCATGGGACAACTTTTTACTTGTTTCGGGAATTGGTTCAGGCATGGGAGATTCCATACCGAGTCCTGACAGTAACCCCTCAGAGGGTTATTATCCTGGCCCTGTGTCCATCATCTCCCCATTTCTCTCGGCCAGCTGGTTTTTTCAATGTTTCCATTGAATTTGTAGCTTACTTCTGCCACCTCTCCAACTGTGCTTATAGTCCATTTAAAAAAAAAAAAAAAGCTTGGTATATGGCTGGCCAGATGGCTCAGAGGATAAATGTGTTTTCTGCCCAGACTGATGACCTGAGTTCAGTCCCTGAGCCCCATGCAGTGGAAGGAAAGACCCGACTCCAAGTTATTCTCGGACTTCCACATGTGTGTCATGGAATTTGTCTCCTCCTCTTCTCTCCCCCCCCCCTCCCCACATGAACCGGTAAAATGAAAAAGTTGGAATCCTACAAGCGGGAGAAATTACCCTGTAAATTCTGTTTGTGTAGAGAGACTAAATCTAGCATGATTGCCTTCTTGAGCTTACCATGTAGTTTTCCACAAGCAGCCGAGAGACAGGAAGGAGATCCAAGCCCTGCTAGACAGATGGCCAGCTAGTCCTGGGGCTCAGGATGTTGAGGTACGTGGCCGAGCCGCCCTCACAGTTCCCTGGTATTTTTCTCCTGATATTTTTAACTATCTTGGTTTAAGTCCACAGAGCAGTTATAAATAGGGCTGAGTGGAGACACTTGGACAAGCTAATAATTAAGCTTCTCTTCCAGCCTGTGTCCTCAAATATTTATCTGTGTTTATTCACTGGAGAGGCTCAGTCCTGTATTCAGAAAGAGAGAAAAAAAAAAAAAAAAAAGGAAGCAAGTTAGTTGTGATTTAAACACAGCATTTAGCAGGGCCTCACCATTAAGCAGGACGTAAAATTAAAACCTGGTTGGTAGCATTAGATCTCACGTATTCCTTTCTTCCACAGCAGCTTGTCAAATCACCCTATTTAGGAGCAATGTGTCACAGACAGGAATCTTGATCTTAGTGTACTGCCCTGGGGATACTATGGTGCTTCTTTATGGATGGGAACCCTAGACAGCTGCCCAGATGGCCACGACCAGTCAAACATGGTCATTCAGCTCTCATTTCAATGGAACTTAGATGACACTGGCTTTTTCTTCTACTCCAGAGTTGCTGCCCCTGAGGAAATAACACCCAGCCCTGTCTTAGTTAGGTTTCTACTGCTGTGATGAAACACCATGACCAAAGACACTTGGGGAGAAAGGAGCCACTTTTTGGATTACAGATCATCATCAAAGGAAGTCAGGACAGGAACTCAAACAAGGCAGGAACCTGGAGCCCAGAGCTGATGGAGAGGCCATGGAGGAGCGCTGCTCACTGGCTTGCTTGCTCCTTGTGGATTACTCAGCCTGTTTTCTCACAGAACCTAGGATCAACAGCTCAGGGGTGCCCCCCAGCCACAATGGGCTAGGCCTTCCCCCATCAATCAGTAATTATGAAAATGTTCTTCAGGTTTGCCTACAGCCTGATCTTATGCAGGCATTTTCTCAGCTGAGGTTCCTTTTGTTTTTGTTTGTTTGTTTGTTTGTTTGTTTGGTTTTGAGACAGGGCCTCACTATGTACCTCTTACTATCCTGGAAATCACTATGTGTTGCTGGGTCCTGATGATTAATATAGACCAGGCTGGTCTCAAACTCACAGAGATCCACCTGCTTCTTCCTCCCAAGTACTGTGATTAAAGGCGTATGCCATCACACCTGGCTGAGGTTCCCTCCTTTCAGATGACTCTAGCTTGTGTCAAGTTGGTGTAAAACTACTCAGCACACACGTCCCGGGTTACAATCCACTGAGTCCCGCGAAGGCAGGAACTGAAGCACATGCATTGGAGGAATGCCGCGTACTGGTACTGGATTGCATCTCGTGTCTTGCTCTGTCTGATTTCTTATACAAGCAAGGACACCTTCCTAGGCATGGCATCACCCACAGTGGACTGGGCCATCCCACATCAATCATTAATCAAGACAGTACACCACAGACTTACATACAGGGTAATTGGATGGAGGCATTTTCTCATTTACGATTCCCTCTGCCTAGAGATGACTAAGTTTGTGTCAAGCTGACAGTTTTCAGTAGCCCAGGCACCTTGCCTGGCAGAGGCCTCCCCAACTTCCTTCTCTGTAGACATGGTTATGTTCACAGGTAACCTGTGTGCCTCACCAATTGCTAGTCACTGTTCACACCAACTACTGTTGGTCCTGTTTCCCGAGGAACAGCCCTTCTGAGGAAGGAAAGGTGGGGAATGGGCAGGGAAGAAGGACCGAGGGATGGTGCAAGAGAGAACTTGGGGCTGGATGTTCAAATGGAACAAAATCTGTGAACACGTGAGTGGTCACTTACCTAGGGCGGGGGTGGCAGGTGTGTGTGTAAAAGGTCTGAACACACCAGGCTTTGTGCACCATTTGGTCTCTGTCTTGTCTGCTCACCTCTGCCACTGGAGCATGAAGCAGCCATGCATAATGCATAGAGCAAGAGCATGGGCGTGGCTTGAGCTCACTAAGGCTTTCTTTGTGTGTGTGGTGTATGCATGTGTATGTGTTTATGTGTGTTCCTGTGTGCTGATACAGGGTGTTCCTCTATCACTCTCCACCTTACTATTATTTGAAGCTTAAGAAAAAAAATTATATTTGAATTTAATAGAAAATTAGGTGAAATTCTTGGCAACTAGCAGAGATAAAGAAAATGTCATGTCTTTTAAGTTCAAAATAGATGATTAAGAATGGAAAACATACTCCAAAGTACAGAATGGAAGTGGGTGAACTGATAAAGAGCACCAATGCATCTGACCATGTGGTATATGGTCTGTTGACACTCCTTTCCATCCTGTTCACACACACGTGAGTGCACACACACACACACACACACACACACACACACACACACACACATGCACTTACACACAGATACACACATTTTGTGCATATTCTGTTTTTTCTTTTTTTGTTTTTTGTTTTTGAGACAGGGTTTCTCTGTATAGCTCTGGCTGTCCTAGAACTCACTTTGTAGACCAGGCTGGCCTGAAACTCACAGAGATCCACCTGTCTTGCCTCTTGAGTGCTGAGATTAAAGACATGTATGGTCACTGCCTGGCCATACTCTCTTTATTAGATGACATCAGGGTAAGGAATGGCTTTATCTTTCTCTTCAAAACTGGTTTCTTGGGGCTGGAGAGATGGCTCAGAGGTTAAGAGCACTGGCTGCCCTTCCTGAGGTCCTGAGTTCAATTCCTAGCAACCACATGGTGGCTCACAACCATCTATAGTGAGATCTGGTGCCCTCTTCTGGCCTGTAGGGATATGTGCAAGCAGAATACTGTATACATAATAAATAAATAAATAAATCTATTAAAAAAAAACCTGGTTTCTTTTATGTTGCTATTGATGCTACTTTCTCCGGTTCCTACTCTCCACCTGGGAGCTGGGATCCCAAAGTCTTTTTGGGGTGCAGAAGTATTGGGGAAATTATAAAGGCCACTACACGTAGTTAAAAGGAAGATTTATTTAGTGGGTGACTTACAAATGAAGGAATAGATAGGTTACGGGGGCCTGGGGAAGGTGTATTGCAGTCCAGCGGTGTTCTCTGGAGCTCTGCTCAGTCAACCTCCACCGTCCAGGGTCCAGGAACAGAGAGAGCGCTTGCCCATCCAGGTCTCGGGTCTCCAGACACCTCCCTTGGCCCCGCCTCGTAGGCGTGACAGTTGCCAGAGTCTCAATGGGAGTTGGAACTTCCAGAACCAAGCTGGAATAGCTACCCACTACATCTCCTCCTTTTTGTTTAAATAAGAAGGTTCTAAACTAGTACAAGACTATATACAAAGGAATGGTTATCAAATATTGTCCAGGAATAATGAGGGATAATGACCTAGATAAGATGGAACTACAA